TCCGTGTAACCTTCATGTTTTATTGGTGTTGTCTGTGCTGCCTCAAGGATGTAATTGGGCTCCAGAGAAGCTTCCCATTATAAAAAATAATGCCATAAAAATTTTTGATTTGGCCTTCCTTCCATCCTTCTTTTTCCGTCCCTCCCTCCTTCCCTTCCTTTTCTTCAGAAAAAAAAAAATTATTCGGAGGAAAATGGCGTTAGGGGCTAGAGTTTCTGAATTGCAGACGACAAAAGCCTTTAAAATGGTGGCATCGCACAGGTGCTGTCTCACTCCTGCTCCGGGCTGTGCTAGCCCACGCGATGGCGGCTGTCCCCACAGGGCCATTTAGATTTCATTGATTTAAATGAGATTTAAGCTTTGGTCCCCAGTGTCACTGGGCACATTTCCAGTGCCCAGCGCCACACGCGGGCAGCTGCCACCGTGCTGGGCAGCACGGACGGGACGGAAACACTCCCGCCCTCGCGGAAGCTCTGCCGCGGGGACGCCAGCTCTGGAGCCCCGTCTCTGTCCCTGAGTCCTGCGGCGCCCTCGCCCTGGCAGCTGCGCAGCGTGCGCGCGTCCGGCCACCTCCGGCTCCCGCTGTCAGGGTGGCAGGACCAGAGCCGAAGCCTTGCCAGAGCCGCTCCCTGCTGCTGCCGGAGCCAGCGGATCACACGCCACGCTGCTTGGTTAATTTAGGACTGTGGAGATCGGGTTACGACAATTAGGGCAAATACAGAAACGGCCGTGTCGTCGTCACGGCCGCATGGTGTGTGTGAGAGTGTTTCTCACGTGATCCTGCTTGAAGCAGCCAGACGCGGCGCGAGGCAGCCGGTGTCGGCAGGGCCCCCATCGCACGGGCGGAGCACCTGAGGCCACGGACAACGCACGGCAGCGGCGGGACCGGAGCCCAGGTGTCCTCACTCCTCTCTGCGCTCCACTCCACACACCGCCTGCTGCCCGGCTTTCCTGCGTGGTTGCTGTCACACAGCCGGGCTGCGGCGCCCAGTCCAAGCCTGCCTCGGTGCCTTTCCCTGGCGCAGCGCGGCTGGCTCACTGCGACCGCGCCCCGGCTCGGCCTCTGTGGGCCCCGGCTCGGCCTCTGTGGGCCCCGGCTCGGCCTCTGTGGGCCGGCACCTGAGAGCTGAGTCCTGAGCCCGCAGGGTGACGCAGCAGGTGCCCTTGCCAGACTGGGAATAGCACCTGCCCCTCCTGAGTCCCAGACCAGAGACAGGCAGGGCGGCGCGGCGGGAAGCACAGCACAGGCTCAGGCCGGTCAGATACGGGTTCGCATTCAGGCTCTGCGCTTGTTCAACCTCCTCGACATTCCGTTTCCTTGTCTTCAGAATGGGCGTGAAGAATTCAAAGGCTAAGTGATGAGCGTAAGATGAGAAAACATAGGTGGAGTGCCCGGTGGGTGTCCCCAGGGTTCTGCGTGTCCCCCTGCTGCAGGCGCAGTGGCCTGGGCAGAAAGCGGGCCTCAAAATCATCGTTCCCCGACACTGATGGGGCGTCCGCTCAGCAGCTTTGCAGACGCACCCTTTGCAAACTCACCCTTTGCAGACGCATAGTGCGAAGTTCAGACAGAGAAGAGCCCGCCCGACTCTCGGCCAGCAAAGGGCAGGCCCCAGGGGAGCCTCAGGCCGCCCGACGGCTGTGCATCCCCACAGCCACGGCAGCGCAGGGCTTCGAGCCTCCTGCCAGCTCGGGCGCAGCCCTGACCTCTCACGCCGCTTCCCTTCTCTCTCTCCGCAGGAGTGCCAGCTTCCCTCAGGGCACGGGGGCCGCCTCCCTGGCGCGCAGAAGCGTGGCCGTGCAGACGCCTGCCTGGTGCGGAGGGCGCTGCGACTGCAGGGCCGGCGGCGCAGCCCGTGACCCTGCGGCCTCCCCAAGCCGGCCGGGCGCCAGCCGGCATTCAGGGGCAGCGCCCGCGACCTGCCCTGCAGCTGGGGCCCGCCCGGCCGGCCCGGGGACAGCCCCGCCGGCGCCGAGGCGGGGCGCGAGGACGTGTGCACCCCCGGGAGGCCCAGCAGCACCCTGTGCCGGGAGCTCGGGGGCCTGCGGCTGCTCGGCGTGGGCGTCCCAGCCACCCCGCTCTCGGCCCGCGCCGCGCTCAGGACGTTCTTGCTGGACAGCAGCCACCGAGCCAGGGCAGGGGCCGCCCCCGGGCACGGCACCCTTCCTGCCACGGCCAGCCGCGGACGTCCCCGAGGTGAGTGTCAGTCCCGTGGCAGCCCAGAGGGAGGGAGGTGCGCAGGGCTCGTCCTGCTGCTGACTTGCAGTCCCGTGGCCAAGGGCACTCGGAGCCACTCAGAGGGCTGGCTGTCTGAGCCTCGTCTTCTGCCCGGCCCTGCCAGCCTGTCCCCGCACAGCCCTGTCTGGGGACTCCGCGGGGCGAGGGTGTGCGGGCCGCCTCGGGGAGGTCAGCGCTCTGCCAGGGAGGTGGATGTTCTCGGGGAACTCCAGAGCACAGGTTAGGGTTCGGGAGTCCAAGTCGTTGTATCTGATTTGTGTCAATCAAACTAAAGATTTAAAAAGTGGAGAGCGGTCCAAACTGAGCCAAAGCCATGTGGACTAGCGGACTATTAAAACAAAAGGGGATCTTCGGAATGTTTTCTAAGCCATACTTGAATTCCTTTGAAATCTGAAGCTGTACTTGAAATCCCTAAATTCTGTTGTCATTTGTTTTCCACCGAGAGTATTCCGTCTCCGCGCCGGAGCTCCTCTGTCTGGTGAGAAAGTAGAAGGGCGTTAATTCTTTTCGCTCGGCATCTTGCAGAGCCTCTGTCCGTGCATCCTGGTGCTGAGGCCACGCAGAGGCGGGTGGGACGGGTCTCGCCTGTGTTCCGGTGGGGTCTGCGGCGCGTAGGAGATGCAGGCGCCGCAGAGCCGGCGGTGGCGGGCAGAGACGCCGGTGCTGGCCCGGCTCCTGGTTGAGAACTGTGCCGTCTCTTCAGTCTGGCAACAGCAGGGCCGTCAGCCTGTGCTTTGGACCCGACACGCTTGAGGTGTATGAAAAAGGTGGCGCTGCCCATCCGAGCTCGCGTCTGTGTATAAAATACAAGGAAACCGGCGTGTGTGAGCGGGCGTAAGTGCAGGCACTTGTGTTCCCGGAGGTGACAGCTGGGGGAGCAGGACGCCCGTGTGGTAGGAGGGAGCAGGGCCGTGAGGGCGGAGTCGGGGACCTTGGGAGGCCCACACTGCGCCAGGTCTGGAGCCCAGGAGGAAAGTGCAGCGGAGGGGGTGCCAGAGTGCCTGGCCGCTGGGGCTGGGAGCAGCGCCCCTGCAGTGAGAGTGAGGCCGGACAGCGCTGCGGAGGGAATGTGGACTCCTTCCCTCCTGTGTCACGGCTCCCGTGGGACTGCCCACGCCCAGCGGCACAAGCGCGTGTGCACCTTCCCTCCTGTGTCACGGCTCCCGTGGGACTGCCCACGCCCAGCGGCACGAACGTGTGCACCTTCCCTCCTCTGTCTCGGCTCCCGTGGGACTGCCCACGCCCAGCGGCACGAGCGCGTGTGCACCTTCCCTCCTGTGTCACGGCTCCTGTGGGACTGCCCACGCCCAGCGGCACGAGCGTGTGCACCTTCCCTCCTGTGTCACGGCTCCCGTGGGACTGCCCACGCCCAGCGGCACGCAGGCACCCTGCTGCCCTTCCCTCCTCTGTCACGGCTCCCATGGGACTGCCCACGCCCAGCGGCACGGGCACGTGTGCACCTTCCCTCCTGTGTCACGGCTCCTGTGGGACTGCCCATGCCCAGTGGCAGGAGCGCGTGTGCACCTTCCCTCCTGTGTCACGGCTCCTGTGGGACTGCCTACGCCCAGCGGCACGAGCACGTGTGCACTTTCCCTCCTCTGTCACAGCTTGCTCCTGTGGTACATGTTCGAAGTCCCCGCGTGGTGCAGTGAGTGCAGGCTGGTCTGCCGCGTCCATGAGGGAGCCTGGCGGTGCTTTCCCGGTGGGCCGGGTTAACCAGGGTCCTCAGAAGACTCAGGTACGTGGAAGGACACACCCTGGGAGAGAGAGCGCCCCCCGGAGTGTAGTTGTTCCCTCCTAGCGCAGTGCCACTGTTCTCGTCTCAGTTCAGACCTGCGGTCGAGTGTTTGCACGGGGAGCACACAGGCAGTGCAGTGGGAACAACGTGCGCACTCGGAAGACTGAGTTTCGAGGCTCCACAAGGCTGCAGGCGAGCAGAGGGGCCAGCCTGCTGGGGGTGGATGTCCCCAAGGCAGCAGCCTCACCGTCAGCCTCCGTGGAGGAAGGTGCTGAGTGTGACACTCCGGGCAGGAACGTGCTCAGGGTCAGACCCGGTGGTGGAGCCCAGGCTGCCCCGTGGAAGGGGCTGACCGTAGGGCTGCAGGGCGTCAGGCAGGCAGACAGGGCCTGGCTTCAGGCCCCTGCGGAGCAGGGTCAGGTCACCAAGGCGAAGGGCAGGCAGGGCAGAAGCTGGAGGAAGCCGTAGCCACTCAGCTCTGCCTGCAGCTTAGCGACCCCTAGGTCTCGGGGTGAGCCCAGATCGGAGCCTGAGACGCTTCTCTGCAGCGGGGAGTCTGAGCTGAGGTGACGGCCGGCGCCGAGCCAGACCTGCAGGGCCCACACCTGTGCTGGCCTCTGCCTGGTCGGGCTCCAGAAACCTGTGTCACCCGGCCACCAAGGGTGTTTACCCTGTGAATGTATCACAAACTGCAGTGGCCCCAGGGGCTGGGAAGCTGGAAGGGACCCCCAGGCCCCGTTTCCTCCCGTCTCCCAAGGCCTCCCTGTGTCCTCGTGCACTCGGCCGACCCAGCGTGGTGCGGGCCTCACCCCATGCCGACGCAGGGGAGCGTTCTCCGTGCAGAAGCAGGGCTCGGTTCCCCAACACAGGTTCAAGTCCTACACCGCATCCCAAGGTGCACGCCAGTGGCCGGAGATGACAACCCGGGGGCGTCTCTCGTGCCCGGGACCTGGGCCCTGCCCTCCCGCTGCTTCCTGTCAATGGTCCGTCCAGGCACTTGCCTGGGGACTCAGAGTTCTCAGGTCTGTGCTGATAAAATATCCTCGGTGGTCGGGTGACACAGGTTTCTGGAGCCCGACTGGGCAGAGGCCAGTGCAGGTGTGGACCATGCAGGTCTGGCTCAGCGCTTGCCGTCACCTCAGCTCAGACTCACCGCTGCAGATGAGAGTGCCCGCGGCTGTGCCCCCTCCTCTCTCTGCCCCCACTGTGACCACCGCGGGCGTGGCCCCCGGTGAGCTGTGTGCCTGCAGGGCCTGCGAGCACTAACATCTCTTCGGGTGTCACACATGGTCGTGTCATGGGAGCCACTCCCAGCCCAGCCCGGGAGCAGCTCCAGAGGTCCGTGCAGGTGGATCCTGGCTGGGGCTCTTCTCTCTGGGCCACGGGTGGCTGCTGAGGACAGTGGCCACCAGCTTGACCCGATAAAGAGCTTCCTTCAGAACACCCCGTAGTGGCTTGTCGTGACTTTTCCTGCCTCGTGTAGAGACTCCCACCGCTTCCTGTTTCTCCTTGCTAGCGTCAGCCGCATTTCTTCCTGTCTCTCTCCCCCTAGCCGGGGAAAGCAGCTCCGGGCCGACCGGACAGCGCCAGTTCCGAAGAGGCCTACGTGTTCGTGCACCCAGGTCCCTGCGCCTCGCTGGCCTCGGAGCGGGAAGGTGCTGACGTCCGCGTCTCCACCAGCCCAGGGCGCCGCCACTCTGCCCTGCATGGCTCCCTGCCCACCGCCCTTCCCGGGCACCGCGGCCCCAGCCAAGGGCGCGAGCTCCTGCCGCCCCCTGTCGACCGCAGCCTCAAGCCTGGCCAGAAAAGTAAGCCTGCTCTTGCTCCTCCACCCCTGCTCGTTATCCAGGGACTGTTTGCGTCTGGCCGGTGCCAGGCGGGTCCCGGACGTGGGCTTGTGGCTTTGGTCCAATCGTGGGAATTCTCTCAGCCCCCGTGTTTCCATCTGTGTTGTGGGGGAGTAACTCCTGCCTCCCAGGTGTGTTAGGAGAATGGCCAGGATGGGCTCTGGCGTGAGGCAGGTGTCCAGAGGGGCCGGGTCCGTGCCCTGCACGTGGGCCAGCGAGAGGAGCTGCGGTCTGGGTCCCCGTCTGCCGCCACTTCGCCCTGTGGGCCTTGGCCCGGCACCCAGCTCGGGAGGACTGGGGAGCCAGGTGGAGCCGGCCCCTTGGGTCCCCCGGCGGGCTTTGATCTCAGCGCACAGCGGA